TGACCTCTTGAGTTAGATGAATTGGAATATCTAGCATGGATCAAAATATTTTAAGAACTTTAACACTGTATAATTGGGATTTTCCTCACAAAATCTTTTTCCTAGCTGCCTCCTTTCTCCCTTTTTCAGGGAAGCCCTTAGAATTTTTCAGTATAACATCAGCCTGACCTTTTAGAAGAGAATGGAGTCAAGAGGATTTTGTTTCTAGGCTCCCCTTAATGTATAGTACTCCTTGATGAAACAAAATGACCTATGTATCTGTCCCAACCTAGATACTGTTTGGCTACCAAAAGACATACTACCACCTCTTTTCTGAGTAAAATCCTGAATGACCATTTGCCCATGGCCTTAAGTAGACTATAAAACAGAAGTGTCTTTCACGTCTCTGATAGTCCCTGAAGGAGCTCATCTTGTCACGTTTTCTTGGTTTATATATCACATGTCCTGACATTTGCATTTGTGCCTTCATACTGACATTTATTTCTTGTTGGTGGCTCTCTTAGAGTTTCCTGGATCTTGTGGTTGAATTGGAGAAACAAAACCTGGTTGCTCCAGATCGATTGGATTTATTAGAAACATGCTTAAAGACCATCCATAGAATAGACCTGAAGACAAAAATCCAGAAATACAAGCAGTCTGGTAAGAAGAATGTTGGCCTCTCTTTAGTCTCAGGAAAGTACCTTGTATATAGTTGGTATGATTGGTAAAGATTTATTCTTCGGTAGGTAGGTGGAATGGAACGTGAATGTCCACAGTTACCACTAGCTTACAGCTAGAGAGCATATCCCTTCATATCCTTTATATCTCAGATTTGTTGGCTCCATAGCCTCATATCCATGACCACAGAGCTTTGGCCCTCTACAAAATGCCCCAGGCAGTTTTTAACATTCCTGGCCTGCAAAAAGGAACCAGCATTCCAATTTCTTGCAAAGGCTGAAGGAGCTAGGGATGGTCAGGGCTTTTGTAGTGTATCCTGAGTTCCGTTGCCTCTCTGTAGTTTTTGGCATGACCATCATTCAACTCTGGCTGATATCCTGTCACTAATGCCCTACATGTGTCCCTGGTTTCACAAAACCCCTTCTTGGGAAAGGGCATCTTCAGTGTCTGCTGATAATTCCTCTCTCCATAAAGGGCCCAGACTCACATTGGCCTTTCCTTTCTCTATCTCTGCCGCATTGTCTTTTAGCCTCGGCATCAGCTTGGGCTCTGTTAGCAGCTCACTGCCATCACGGAATCACAGCCTGAAGGGTGAGGCTGAGACCCAGGAGTCCAAAAGCCTTCCTCCCCCTGCGACTCCTAAATGTCTGAGGAATAAGAACAGGAGTAGCATTTTTAGCTCAGTCTTAATGATGTTCAGTGATCTGCTATTTTAAATTTAGTAAGGTGCCTGGAAAGTTTAGGGTATTTTGAAAGATGGTGACTTTTCAGTATGATTGTTTCAGAAAAGAGATTGACCTTGGACTGAGCCATTGTTGATGATTCATTTGAAAATAATTTTTCTAATCTTGACTCAATATCCCTCTTCTGCCTACAGCTCAGGGAGCAGCAGGAACAAATTATGTAAATGCTCTCCAGGCATCTCTCCCAAACTTGACTCTCAAGGAAACTTCATATAACTTAGGGGTGAGTCGGGAGCAAAAGTATGGAATTGCAGCTTGAAACAATTTCAGAGCTTTAATAAAAACATATAAATACTCAAAGCATGTACTTTATTTAATATCTGAAAAAATTGTACAAAATGTGTGTTTGTTTTAAATATATGTCTAATTTCTTATGATTACAAAACTAATACATATTCATTGAGTTTATTTGGAATATACAGAGAAAATATAAAATGAGGAAAAGAAATTATCCATAATCTCACTACTCACTCAAAGGCAACCACTGTTAATATTTTGGTGTATTTTCTTCTAGTCTCTGTAATATGTATATTTACATGTGTATCTACATGTACAGTTGAATTTTTTTTTATTGTTTATTTGTTCCTTTGAAAATTTAACTTTTTTTAAAGTAAGACATACCTTGAACAAAAATGTTCAAAACATACTAAAAACAGTTTTAAAAGTATGTTGTCTTCCTGCCCCTATAACATTGATGTCATTTCTTTTCCTTAGAGACAGCTATTTACCAGTTTCTTCTGTAACCATCCAGAGACAGTCTATGCACATAATACTCAGTTTTGTTTTTTCCTTTTGTACGAATGGTAGCACCCTATGCCCATTGTCCCAATCTGATTTCTTGGAAGTAGTTCCATATATTTCATATGGAATTGTTCCTGTTTATTCATTATGTTAATGATTGTACATGATTCCATTTTCTAATTGTATCACAATGCATTTAACACTCCTTGTTGATCTGCATTTGCCATATTTTTCAGAAATAATGTACCCGCACGTGTAATGTGCACAAAACACCTAGGAAAATAATGTGTGAGGGCATTGCACAGTTGGCAAAAAATGTGTAGCACGTGGGTGGTTTATGTAAAAATACGATAGATTGTTTCCAGTCTTTTGTTACTATAAAAATGCTGCAATAAATATCCTTGTACTTATTTCTTTGTGCTTTTGCTTTTTTTACTGACCATATCTTAATGATTTCAGCAAAAGTTCTTTGTGATAGAGTGATGAATGAAAGGTTTCTTTCTGGTTTGTAAACAAGTATCACCTAGTCACTCTTGGTTGTGTTAGCCATCGATAGTACAAGGTCTCATCAGAACTATTCTTTGGTTAACCTTTTATCTTGAGAAAATAAATCCTGGTGTAATCTCATCCTCATCCTCATAAAGTGTGTGGAATTTGTAGTGTGGACTTAGACCAGAGAGCAATTTCATGCTTTAAATTATAAACACTTTAATAAAAGTATGTGTTAAAAATATTAACTACTCTTGGAGTGTAAATAGTTTCATGGAGAACATGAGTTGCTAGAGGCACCAGTGAACAACAGAATTTCAGACCTAAAATGGATGTTAGGGGTTATATTGTACAACTCCCTCATTGTACAAATAAGGCAACTTAGGCTTAAAGACCATCAAGTGATTGTCTACCTCTAATTACTGGCAGAACTGGGCCCAGTTCATGCTTCTTTCACTTCATCATGATATACTTCATAAACTACATACTAGTCACGCCATCACTTAGGTGTATCTTCATTTTTTAAGAATCAAATCATGAACAAGATAGATTTTAGATTCAGATCAGTCTTTCCAAGTTTTCTCTGCTATTGTCTATCTAATATAAATCACACTGTTATTCTTAGTTAAATGCTGCTGTACTTTTATTATTGTCTGCTTTGTAGATGACGGTAAACCTGTATACTGCCCAAGTTGCCTATTAGGAAGCCCTATGCTCTGTGTATAATTTCCTCTTTAATTTGCCTTTAATATTTAATCTGTGACTTTGGTTATTCATTTATTTAGTAAACAGGCATGGTAGTATATGCAAAAATACTTTCAAAATTACAGTGGCATTAAATGAATCATGATGATACCAACATATTGTAGAGTAAAAACTTTCATGACTCTGCAATAAAATGATTTTTAAATCTACCTTTGATTTGGTCTGATATCTCTTTAATAATATGTAAAAGTGAATACACATCCATGTGGGGGACCAAATTCTATCTGATATGATTGGTCTCTGGCTAAGTGAGTGATTATTAGTGATAAAAGGAATTTACATGTTTTTCTTTACTTCAGACACACAAACTTAGCTATAGCCATAGGCTTATAAATAGTGTCCTTTTTTCTTTTGGCTGGAATAGCCTTAGAGGAGAACTGTCATTTGAAAGCTGAGTGTATCAGATGGTTGACAGTATATGGTATGTGTACCTTACATTGGACATGTCATTTGAGAAGGGAAAAGTTCGGTTTCAATCTTTCATTCTCTGATTAACCCCATTTTGGCTCTCAGAGAAGGAGCTTTGGTGGCATGGTGCCTGAGGTATTTGACTGCTAACCAGAAGGTTGGTGGTTCAAACCAACTAGCTACTATGTGGGAGAAAGACGGGGCAATCTACTTCTGTCAAGATTTACTGTGGCGGAAGCCCAAAGGGGGTTTCTATGAGTTGGAATCGACTCAATGGCAGTGAGTTTGAGCCTTCACAGGCAGTGCCTGATTATCAAGCATGAAGCACATATATGGCTTATGTATCTGTGGTTGACTAGTCAATTACAGAAAAATAATAACTGGACATTTATTCAACACTTTCTGTGTAGTAGGCACAGTGCTAAGTGCTTTGTGTACATTGAATCTTCACAATAAACCTATACTATTATTATCCTCATTGTGCCGGTGAAGAAGTAGACAGAGAGAGGTTAAATAACTTACTCAAATGTTATGTCACTAGTAAATGACAGAGTCAAGATGCATTGCCAGGTTTGTATGGGTTAGAACTCCTACTCTTATCTATTATATACTTTGCCTCAGTATTGAAGGAGTGGGCTGAATGTCAAGCTCATGTCATAACAGTTTGTTCCAACTTGGAGCTATTACAGCATCTACTCTATACCACAACATCTGATTTTATTGAGCTGTTTGAAGCATTCTGACATGCTGGTTTAACATATTTACACTTTCATTGTCTTTTCACTTTTTGAAGGAAGAGTTGCCTTATTCTTTGGTTATATAAAATGAGATTAATGGTTTGAATGGCTGTTGCTAGTCCTCAGATCATTTAACTGTGAATGTGGTATTTTGATTTTTTTTTTTTTTCTAATTAAGAATCTTATTGAGGTATTAAAAAGAACAAAACAAAACAAAAAAAAAACCAAAACTTACTGCCGTGGAGTCGGATTGGACTCATAGCGACCCCTCCTTGGGTTTCCGAGGCAGTATCTCTATGGAAGTAGATTGCTCGACCTTCCTTCCGAGGAGTGGCTGGTGGTTTTGAACAACCAGCTTTCTGGTTAGCTGTCAAATGTCTTAGGCACTACACCACCAGAGCTCCCTATTGAGGTATTTAAAGAGGTGTAATACAGTGTGTCTCTGAAAAAGCTGACAGGGAGTGTGACCTTGTTGTTTTTATTTGCAGCTACAGAACAGAAGAAATAAAGAACAAAGAATCGTTGTGGAGCAACTTGGCATTCAAAGTAAGACTGACTTTTCATTATATTCATTATTTATACACGTTTGATAATTCAAGTACAAAATGTTGCCTTTTTAGAGTTTTTAGTTTTTCGTTTGTCTACATATTTTAAATGTTGACTATCTTTATCTGTGTGCTGTAATTAAACTCTTAAAAAGTAGTTAAATTCAAAATTATTCATTGGCATTTATTGAATTAGCTTGTTTAAATTTAAGCACAACCTTTACTTCATCAGCAATAAGGCTAGGCTGTGTTAACAGTAACCAAATATCTAGTAGCAGGAAGAAGGATCTTGTTTTATAGCCCATTTAATACATCTGGATACTCTACAGTGATATCTCCCCACTGACCCTCCTGCCCCCAAAGAACAAAAAATACAATAAAAATCAGCTACTTCAACTCACATGATTTCTCTCCTCTCTCAAAACATCAGCACTTTGACCCCATAACATTTTCTTAAAGTCTGCTTCTTTTGCTTGTCTTGGGTCCTCTCTGTGAAGTGAAGGCTGAGACCTTATGGCAGATAATTTGGGCTTTAGAACTCTGGGAAGCAGAGATTGGTAGGCAGGTCAGGAGGGCTTCGCTTTTATGAGGTTTGGGATTTGTCTTGTTTGTGGTGGGGATCATGAAAGGACAGGGTTCTGATGGGAGCCTTCTTTGTGTAGCAGGCCCCTTGCCAGTATCTTATGACTCAGCCTCCATGTTGTCTGTGTGCACCTAGAGACAGAGAAGCATTTTGCCTGTGTTAGCCAGATGGCACAGCTCATGCCTGTCACTCCCTACCCAATATTCTGCTCTCCAGTAAAAGCTGTTGAGACGTGACTTTATTCCTGAAGTGACAACATGTTTCTAAAAACACTGATGAGGTGGTGAGAATCAGCATTCTGAAAACTGTTTAAAAGGAAAGTAGAAGTCCTGGTAGATTTGGATAGAAATTGAAAACACAGTCAATGTTCTTCCCATTGCACTCTTTGATAGCAGGTTATATTTGATCATAATTATATAGGGAGTTAAGTTAGGCTCCCAACACTGCCTGGTAATCTGTTAGGAGAGCTAGTTGCTACCTGCTTTTGCCTGGGTTTGGTTTAAAGCATTCTGATAACTTGGCCTTAATCTAATAGATGTTTAAACTGATCAATTCAAGTATTCATATTTATTTGGTCTTCCAGATACATTTCAAATGAATGATAATAATGATAATTACCATTTATTAAGCTTATCCTAAATGCCTTAAACTGAGCTAGGCATATTACATGGATTATTCTGTTTTTTCTCTTTTTTTGTTATAATACTACATGATTGCTAAAAGTATAAAATACATAAAAAAGGGAAATTTTCCTCTTCATTCCAACTACCAGAGATAGCTACTGTTATTGTTCAATTTATATACCTCTCGGTTCTTATATTTTTAAGTATATATATGTAAATTTACACACACAGATATATATATATATATTTAAGTACATGGGATCAATGCTATACATATTACTTAATGACTCATTTTTTCACTTGGTATATCCTGTATCTTTTCATGTCATATATGTAAAATTCTCCCTTATCTTTTTTAACATTACTTAGTATTCCATTATATGTACCATAATTTATTTAATCAGTTTCATATTGGTGGGCTTTTAGTTTCTTTCTGGTTTGGGGTCAATATAAACAGGCATTCAGTAAATATCCTTGACATATTTTTGCACACTGGCTATATTGTTCCTTTCAGATGAACTTCTTAAAGCAGAATGATGACTCAAAGTTGCCAATTGCCCTTTAAAAAGACTGTTTGAACTTGTACTCATTAGCATTTGAAAGAGCTCGTTTCCCTCAAAATATTACCAATACTGGCATATTCTTTTCTGGTCTTTAGATATTGTTTCTCATTCTTGGAACAATCCTGTAACGGTAGATTTTAGTATGTTCATCTGAAAGATGAAAAGTTGAGACTCAAGGAAGTTGCCCAAGATCACAGAGCTGGTCATTGCTGGTTCTGGGGTTTGAGCCAGCCCTTCATGGCTTCAAACTAGTGGTTCCTCCAGCTCACCTCATTTTTATCCAATGAAATTTGCTTCAGGCTCATCTCCCTTCGCCAGACTCATTGCCCCCCTATCTTGCCATTTTATTTTATGATCTTGTAATATTACTAGTCTAAGCAAACATGGTCTTCTGCCCTATAAATAGCAAATATACGTAAACTTTCTCTTCTCTGCAGTCTCTAAGACTGCTTCCTTTAAGCATTATACACAGTTTCAGCATGTAAGAAAGCTATTGTTATTGTGGGGTGGTGAACTTATTGGATCTTTCCCATCAGTTTAAAGACTCATCAGTCACCAGGCGTTTTTCCTGGAGAAGGTGAGAAAGAGCCACCTTCTTCTAATTCTTCTTTTTAAATTTTTATTGTGATTTGGGTGCAAGTTTACAGAGCAAATTCACTTTCCATACAGCACTTTGTCTCATGACATTGACTTCAATTTCCCACAATGCAACAGCTCCCCTCCCACTTCTTCCCCATAGTTACCTGTTCCCTGTGTCCTTCCTTCCCATGCACTCCTGCCCCCCAAGCTGTCTCCCTGTGCATACACAGACCTCCTTTTTGAGAGAGGCTTCTTCTTCTTTATTTTTCAAGCATTTTTTCTCTATATCCCCTGTTTATTTTAGGGTCTCATGTTTAGGGTCATGAAATTCTTCAGTGTGAGTATAGCTAGGAAAAGAAGAGGTAGTGTAAGAACAAAGGGGCTGAGAATAGTTTGTGATATAAAGAACTCAGCCAGCAGGATGTGGGCTTAGTGTTCATTCAGCTTTGTGAATGATTCTTCTCTCATCTCCCAGGAGAACCAGTGAAGACGTCCATTCAAGAATCAGGAGCGTTTTTGCCTCGGGTATGGAATGAACTGCTTGCTTTGTATTTGTGAGCACACTATCTGCTGAAAGCACTGACTTCTTTAAAAATACCTGTCCGTTAAGAATTCTTTGTTACAGCTTTGCACTCTCCACCCCTGCGGGGCTGAATGGTCTTCGGGAGGCAGTGCATTGGGGAACCTCCAACTCTTCGCCCAGAGGAACGAGACCTCTGAGCGGAGCGGTGACTCTCCCGGCCCAGTCTCTTTCTTGGCGGAGGTGGTGGCTTCTTCCGTGGGACAGTATGTTCAAGAGAATGACTGAATTTGGGCCTGACTCCGGCGGGAGAGTGAAGGGGGTTATACTATTGTTAAACCAATAGTTTATGGTAATGTTGCTTGATACTTTGGAAAGAGAGGAAGATGGACATGCTCATCAGTGGACAGTATATATAAAACCATATAGAAATGAGGATATGTCAGCATATGTGAAGAAAATCCAGTTTAAGGGTTGTTACTAAGCCTCCATATGAAGTTACTGAAACAGGATGGGGTGAATTTGAAATAATCATCAAAATATTTCTCATTGACCCTAATGAAAGACCTGTAACCCTGTATCATTTATTAAAGCTGTTTCAGTCAGACACTAATGTAATGCTGGGGAAAAAACAGTGGTTTCAGAGTTTTATGATGAAACGATATTTCAAGACCCAACAGCAATGATGCAGCAATTATTAACAACATCTCAGTCAGCTTACATTAGGAACCTATAAACATGAAACCGAATTTTCAGAACTTGAAGTGAAAACCAGAGAAAAATTAGAAGCTGCCAAGAAAAACAAGCTTTGAAATTGCAGAGATTAAAGAGAGATTAAAGGCAAGTGGTGAAACTGTAAATTGTTTAAAAAATGAAATCAGGAAGCCTGAAGAAGATGATCAGACAAAAAAGATATGTACAGTTCTGAAGAGAACTTGATAGTAAGCTCGACTGAAAAAAAGTGGAACTGAACAGTGAAATGGACTTAATGTAAATGCTATTATGTTTCTTAGAGGAACTGCATATACAGTTGTTGACCATGGATATCTCAGCAGTGAGTCAAAGTATTTGTCCTATTCAAGTAATCTTTAATGTGAAATATATGTATGTAATAAGGATGGATGCTATATAGGCATTTTACGAGCCCATTTTAGGGTAATCCTATGACGTTAAGCACAATTTTGAAAATTTTTTTATTGCATTGTATTTGCAGCTTATTCTTTTAATGGATTTAAATTTTTTATGTGAAGTATAACTTGTATAACATTTGTACTTTTCCAGTAGTTAAAACTAGTGCTAAAATTGATATGAATATTTCTTCAAGTTCTTACCTGTCCATTTCTTGCCTCTTTTGCATGTGATGTGCCCAGTAAGTGCTTAGTAAACATAGCTTATGGATCCTGAAAAAAAAAAATTCTATGTTACAATAATAGGATGCTGAATGTTCTCCTGAGAACGCTTTTATGGGAGAACCTTGGATGTCACGGAGAAAGATCTTAAAGTGGATTGTGTCAGTGAACTTTAGAGTACAGGGAAATTACAAAGTGGTACTTGGTCTCTCAGCTGAGTGATTACAGAGTGTCTAAGTAGGTGGTGATACTGAGCCTTGACTTGTTCTGGATTTTTCTTATACTGATACTTCTCTGTATCTCTGTAAGAAGAGACTTTAGAAGGCCTCTGTACTGGTTTTGGAAAGATATAGAACTTGTATAGTTTTTTTTTTTTTTTACATTTTATTGTGACTTGGGTAAAAGTTTACAGAGCAAATTGGTTTCCCATTCAGCAATTCATACACATTTTGACTTGTGACACTGATTGTAATAATGTAATAGCACTCCTCTCACTTCCTCTTTGTGTTTATCATTTCCATTTGTCCTTTCCTATCCCTTTCTTTTCTTTTTCTTTCCTATCCCTTTCTGTTTTCTGAGCTTTAATTACTTGTATAACTTCTTGGGGTTAGGTTACTGTAGAAATGTATGAGCCATCTTTTCTCTGTTTAAGTTATCTTTATTCATGGGAGACATGTAGAAAGAGACTTCAATTTTCATTAAATTTAAATAGCACCTAAAATAGCTTATGTGTCTAAAGTATACTACTCTAGTGGAGGAAAAGTGATATTAATGGGAAATGTCAGCTATGATGACTTCAAGCTTTGTTTGTTCAGTGACTGTTTTGCCAAAGGGATGTTTAAGGATATCCGAAAGAAGAGATGGTATGTGGGTGGGACCTTCCTGGAATGGAGCAATATTCAGAGTCTTTAACGTACCCTGTTTTCCTTTTAAGCACATATCTGAAGAAAGATACAGGATGCAGAGCAACCCTCTAGGAATCTGCCTGATAATCGATTGCATTGGCAATGACACAGGTAGGTATGGATACTGCAGGTTAACTGATGTCCCCCCAGTGAGATCATGGCACAGGCAGGCAGTATTGGAGTGATCAAAGCTAGCTGCTATAGCAAATTGCCGCAAAAATCTGTGGCTTAATCCAGTGAAGGTTTATTTTTCACTTATGTTGTAGTGTAATGTGGATTGGGTAAAGGGAGCATTGTTCCGTGTGATCTTCCAGTGGCTACATCATCGTTGGAGGCCTTGAAGTCTTCTGCAGGATGTTTTGTATCTAACCAGTAGATAAAGGGAGGGAGAGAGTACATGGAGGATTGGGTACTAGACTTGAAAGTGACCATCATTCCTATCCACTGGTTTCCATTGATTAGAACTCATTCATGTGGCCCACTTATCTGCGGCAGAAGTGAGAGAACTAGACTAGCTCTGTGTTAGGAGGAAAAGTAATAGGGTTTAGTAACCCCCCAGCAATGTCTCTGCCGCAAAGGCTTAGTTGATGAGCTTTGGTCTTGCCTTTTCATCCTGGATGCTGCAGCAAGGAGAGCCCTGGGCTCCAGAGAGGACTGATAATGGAAGGCTTTCTGGCTCTATATGTTGTCGGATGCCCCATCATTTCACCTAGACAGACTCTGAAAACTTTCCTGGGATCACTACAAATACAGTAAATGTGTGTTCATTATGAGAGTCTTGGGCATTGTCTGAGGAATGTGTCATTTAGTTTTGTTGTCCTTTACGTTGGTATTGTCTGACTCTGTTCTGTCCTCTTTTATAAGACAATTATTTGACCTGAATTGATTCCTTTGTTCAGTTGCTGTTGGATGTCTTACTCAAACTGAATCACTGGTGATTCATCCAGAGAGAATGAAAAGAGCCCAGAGAAGCAGGATAACATTATTTTTTAATAATTTATCTCTTCCTTGAGAATATTGATCATTACATTTCTAGCAGTTTGCCAACTTCTAAACATTCTCTTTGAATGAATCAGACTGTCTTTTAGGGTGAGTTAAATGCTACACACAAGGAACCCTGGTAGTGCAGTGGTTATGTGCTCAGCTGTTAACTAAAAGGTTGATGGTTTAAACCCACTAGCCTCTCTGTGGGGGAAAGATGTGGCAGTCTGCTTTTTTAAAGGTTTTTAAAATGCCTTGGACACCCTATGGGGCAGTTCTACTGTGTCCTGTAAGATTGCTTTGAGTTGGAGTTGTCTCGACAACAATGGGTTTGGTTTGGGTAGATGTTACCATGGGGAATTTTATGGGAAGAAATCTAAGAGAAAATCAAATTAGCAAATATTAGGCTGGATTTCCCAGGATTTCAAATATGATCCCATTTTCTCATGTCCTATTTTTGGTTAGATGTGCAAAATGCTGTTTCCTCAGCTATAGATAGGTGTTCTTTCTTTTTTAGCCATTAATACCCGTATGAGGATGAGAAAATATTTTCCTAATGAGTCACTTCCTGTTTTAAAAGAGGTTATATAATTGCCCTTCGTTTTCTGTTGTAATCAGTTCTGTTTCATTCATCAGCAGGAAAGTTCCCAGTTACACATGGTGGTGGGTGTGTCTTTTGTATTAAGACTATCATAAAGGTAAAGCCATTATCTTCTGTAAATTGATAAACTATCTGTGGATAAAATTCTGTGTATGTGCTAGCTTCCCTTGCTGGGCTGTGAGTCTCTTACAGGCAAGAATTGAATTCATATTTGTATTTTTCTGCAATTATAGCTGTGTGGTCAGAGTTGGATCCTGGAATACAACTGTGGGATTTGAATTATGGTTGTATCATGTCCTTGCTAAGGAGTTCTGGTGGTGTAGTGGTTAAAGCATTCAGCTACTGACCAAAAGGTTGGGGGTGTGATCCCAGCTGCTCTCTGGGAGAGAAATGTGACACAGTCTGCTTCTGTAAAGATTTATAGCCTTGGAAACCCTATGGAGCCCTGTAAAATCTCTATGAGTCGGAATTGACTTGATGACAGTGGGTTATGTCCTAGCTTGTTACCTTGGACAACTTATCTAGCCTATGACTTAGTTTCTCTTTTGGAAAATGGGTCAATAACAGGATCTACCTTATAAGGTCATATAATACATACTTGTAAGGGGCTTATTGGACAGTGCCTGGCATATTATAAGTATTCACTAAATGTCAGCCAGTATTATTATTCTGTCATTTTGTTTGTTTAATTTTAGTTGTGAACCACTAAGAACTTGGCACAGCTTTGTGCTTGGTACATAGAGCCTAATCCCAGACAAGTGAAGGATCAGGGAAATTAGAGCCTGGGGCCTGGGCTGGGCTCAGGGTGGGTGTGACATGTCCTCACAGGCTGTGGCACACTGAATGGAGGTGATAACCTGAGAGGTAAATTTGTTGAGGAGATACCCAGGTGGAGAGCTGAGAATATCACTCTAACCAGCCATCAATATGAATGCATTTGGCTGAGAAGGAAAATCTGAGTACAAAGGCTGGGATGCTGGAGAACAAGCCAGACTTGATAGGAGAGAGAGTTGGAAGAGGAGGGTGGAATTGGGGGTGGAGCCTAGGACACGGGGCCTTTGGTCTGAGGTCTGAGGTCTGAGTTCTGAGCAGGTACTGACTTCAGGTGTGTTCTTACATCTCTTCTTATCTAGTAGCTGATGATGAATGTGCATGTGAACCCTAAGAATCAGAATAGTGGGTCCAAGGAGCAGGTCCTTCCTGATCATGTATAATCCTTTCAAGTTCAGTATCTCAAAGGTGGAGTGCTGGAATAGAATGGGACTGGGCCACTAGCATGTATCCCTGGATGCTCATCATTGCTATCCTCTGAGAATCAGGGCTCTCTTGACCCAAGCCCTGCCTGCCTGTGGAACCAAAACGAGTAACGGCTTGAGGCCACTTATAAAATCTCCCCAAGCTCACGTGGCCAATCGACAGTTAAGAAATAAGACTGCAGCATCTACTTTTACTTCCCTTGTGCTACAGCTTCCATTAGAGAGACTTGTCAGCCTGCTGAGACTCAGAGCAGCAGGAGTGTGTTAATTAAAATGAAGTGGAGAGACACGGTGTCATGCCTCTAGGCCTACAGCTCCTCATTTTCCCACTCCCCTCCTGAGGACGGGACTCTGGGACCTGGAGTCCTGCTTGGTGGATGGTCTTTGTGAGGAGCAGCGCTCTTCATTCCCATCCCACCAGCACTGAGAGGGCTTCAACTAGTGATTATGTCCAGTTTGCTCTCTTGCCTAGTGAACTTTTTCACCTAATTAATATTGAACATTTTGGAATCAGATAGTAAATAAGAAAACAAGTAAGATAATTGCAAGCTGAAATAAGGGCTCTGAAACTACTGGAGTAATTATAAGACTACTTTGGGGGTGGTAATCACCAGTGTATAAAATGTATTAGACGCCTACTGAGTGCCAGATACTTTGCTAATTGCTTTACATGGATTTTCAACGTCGCCCCCCCCCAAAACCCATTGCTATTGAGTCAGTGCTGACTCATAGCCACCCTACAGGACAAAGCAGACTCCCCTGTAGGGTTTCCAAGGAATCAGACTGCCACATCTTTTTCCTGCAGAGTGGCTGGTGGGGTCTACCAACCAGTCTTTTGGTTAGCAGCTGAGTGTTTAACCATTGCACCAGCAGGGCTCCGTGGATTCTCACTCCTCGTAGATGAAGAGGATGCTGAGCACACTGAACTACTTTCCTAACTTCTGTAGTAACTGAGAGAGCTAGGATTTGAGAGCTTGACTCCAAAGCCTAAACTTTTACTTATGTGCTATAAGGTAAGCTTCATGACAATGAGGACTTCTTTGTTCATCTCTTTTACTATGTAGCACATGGCCAAACCAAGCCAAACCGGTTACCATTGGGTTGATTCTGACTCCACCTCCTGTTGTCAGAGTAGAACTGTGCTCCTAAGGGTTTTCAGTAGCTGTGACGTTTTGGATATAAATTGCCAGGTGTTTTTGCCCTGGTGTCTGTGGATGGATTCTGTCAACCTTTTGGTTAGCAGGTGGGCATTTAACTGTTTGCACATAGAAACTCAATAGATAATTGTTGGATGAATGAATAAAGAAACAAACTCTCGAGTGAGTGCCAGTATGTTCCTTTTATTTATAAAATTTAGTCTACTAAATTGTACTTGTCTTCTTCTGTGCTCAAAAAAATCAGACTTTCATCCAAAGAATATGTCAGTCTCCTAAACATGTGTAGTTTATTCCTTCTGTGACCCGATAAATGTTTATTGGGCACGTACTGTATGCAAAGCACCGTGTGTGGTCCTGTGTGAGGAAGCAGAGATGGAGGCAGTGCAATGGAGTCTGGCCTCAGAGTCATTTGTTGTGAACAAAGATAGTTATTTTTTGGTGGCTGATTCTTGAGAATCCTAATAGAGGTCAAACTTTATTCTTTTTTAACTTCTCTATGTATCTACCTGTAGATTAATGTCTGTTATTACTAAAGCACTTGACTGCTATCCAGAAGGCTGGTGGTTCAAACCCACCAGCCACTCCTCGGAAGGAAGGTTGGGCAATCCTACTTCCGTAGTGATACTGCCTCGGAAACCCAAGGAGGGGTCACTATGAGTCGGGGCCAACTCGAGGGCACATAATAACAACAACAACAACATTACTGATAATGCAGGATTGTGTGTATAAAAGTGTTTATCTTTGTTGTCTGTATCTCTTGTGTACCTCTCTGTGTCTTCCTTTTCTTTAGTGTTGTATTGGTTACTCGCTTTTAGTATATTGCCTTTCCCTTCAACTAAATCAGTAATTTTCTCTTACCTGTCTAGCAATTTTTTCTGCCCTCCCCTCCCACCCCTGGTAACCAACAAAGAAAATTTCCTTCTATATGTAAACCTTTCCAATAGTGGACTTATATGCTATTTATCCTTCTGTGATTGACTTATTTTACTTAGCATAATGTCCTTCAAGTTCATCCACATTATAAGGTGAGGTCAAACCCTTTCTTGATGCAGACATAGATGCTTAGGGATTTGGGGCTAGGCATCTTTGTTTGATAGAATTTAAAAAGTAAGCCCT